TAATGTTCAATGCCTCACCTTGTTTTAACTCTCAAAATAGTGTTGGAAGATGGAACGGATAGTTATTATCATGCCTTGTTTCCAGTGAGGCACTGAGGGGTAGAGGGGCCTGGCAAATGTGAATCTCAATCCAGATGATTAACATAATATAGTCATTAATAAGATGGCCATTAACAGATGGAACAGTTATAGATGAAAAAATCTGGACAAAGATCCATAGGATGGTTAGTGGCTGAGCAGGAATAGAACATTTTTTAGGCTGGGCGCAGTGGCTCACACCTTTAATCTCAACGCTTTGGGAGGCTGAGGTGAGCAGACCGCTTGAACCTGAGTTCAAGACCAGCCTGAACAAGCATGGCAAAATCCCGTTTCTATGAAAAATACAAAAAATAGCCGGTGTGGTGGCACACACCTGTAGTCTCAGCTAGGTGAAAGGCCGAGGCAGGAGGATTGCCTGGACCTGGGAGATCGAGGGTGCAGTGAGCAGTAATGGCACCACTGTACTCCACACGGGTGATAAAAAGCTATCCCTGTCTCAAAAAAAAAGAAAAGAAAAGAAAAAAAGAAAAAGAAAAAAGCCTTTGAGCTTATTACTTTAGTTAATCCAATTTATCCTTGCCTTTACAGTAGGTTTTTTTAGTGTTACCAACAGTGTTATAGTATATTCTTAAATCCAGTAGATTATTTTCTTACACAGGTACAAGGAGACACATTTGAAAAGACAGCATGCAATGCCTTAATAAAAATATTTTCTGTTAGAATAGTAATATTCATGTGGCAATGGATGACCAAACTTCTTTCTATATAAGCATACTTAGAAAGGAAATCTTGCTCATACATCATTCTGGAAAACATTGACCACTGCCAAAATGAGAAATTGAGAAGGTATTCTTTGAGTATTAATGAGAGTATTAGCTCAATTACTTTAAAAAATCCATAATATTTTCTCAGTTAAGTTTTTTGTCTATAAAGCTTTGGTGTGCTGTTATTGGTCATTGATGTATTATAATGCCCAGAGAGTGCATTCAGGCACTTAAGAAATATTTATTGAAATGAAACAAAATTGCTTGTCAATAATAAAAAGTCAAATGGCTTTTTTTAAACTCCTGGATTTTTGTTTAAGGGCGTCAGGGGGTGGTATTTTAATAGTGCATGGATATAATAGCTAAGTTTTCTGTTAATGAAATTATTACTAATTGTTAAGATAGAGGTGATAAGTTACTATTTTACCGTGTTCTACAAAAACCATGAAATCTAGGCATTTCATGGCTTGAACAAGCCAGGGAAACTGCTAAAAGGAGGTAAGAAATGGAAAAGGGAAGGAAGATGAGTGGACTGCCATGCCAGTGGCTTGGTTAGATGCTTTCTGTACACAAGCTCATATAATTTCATGAAAGCCTGTGTGAAGTTATCCCCCTTCCAAGACAGGAAGCAGAATACAGAGAGGTTTGACAGCCCACCCTCCAATTCCATAGTCTCACAATTTGGAAATAAAGAGATAATGTTTATATCCAGGACTATGTTGCTGCTTCAAAAATCTATTTGTTTTGGGGCCAGATTCCTGCCGGAAAACCTGAAATTGCAAGTCTAATAGTTTCAGGCAAGAACCGCTCTTTGACAACAACTAAAGAGATTTTTAATTGGCTTTTATAAAACAAACTAGATAGTAGTTGAGGATGAGTGAACCCAGATTTTTCAAATAAGCTCTATGAAAATAGATATGCAAATGTATGTGTATAGCTTACTCAGTTCAGGTTTTTGTCCTTATTGCTGAAATAAATCTATCTTTTTCAAGGTCATCAGTGACCTTCCTGTTGCAAAGTCCAGTGGCCATTTTCAGCCGTTGTCTTACTTAATCTATTAATAGCATTTGGTGTAATTTTTTTCCCTTTTTCTTGAGACACTTTTTTTTTTTAAAACTTGGACGATTCTTAGACCTCTTCTCTTTTCCATCTGCACTCATTCACCATCCAGTCTCTTGACTTTAAATATCCATGCTGATCACTCTCTTTTCTTTCCTTAGGAAAGACCAACTCCCTGACTGCATAGTCGTATATTCAGTTGCCTACTTGACATTGCCGCCTGGGCATCGAAAGGACGTCGTGCACTTGACATATTTAAGATTGAACTCCAAATCGTTCCCTAGAAACCTGCTCCTCCTGTGATCTTCCATATGTCCGTAAATGGCAAGTCTATCTTTACAGTTGTTCAAGCCAGAACTCTTGGCATCATCCTTGATTTCTCTTTTTCTCTTGCCCTGTTTTCATTGTATCAGCAAAGCCAGTCAGCTCTTTCTCCAGAGTGTGTCCAGAATCTGGCTACTTCTTCCCACTGCTCCTATCACTGTCACCTTGGTCCAAGAGCCACCAAAATCTCTCACAAGAGACTCCTATCTGGTCTCTCTCTTTCTGCCCATGACATTCTACAGCCTGTTCTCATAGCACTATAGGGATTGCTCCAAAATATGTCATAATGTCACTCCTTTGTACAACCAACATTGATTTGATTCTCATCTTAGAATAAAAACCTGTGTCTTTACAATGCCCTACAAGGCCATTCAGAATGTATTTCCCAACCTCCCTATTAGTCAACGCTCTGATATCCTTCCTACTCCTCTCTCCTTTGCTTCTTCATCTCCAGGTACAACAGGCTCTTTGCTCCCCCTTCCTTATCCCAGAAATGTTTTCTTTTAGGGTCTCTGCACCAAGGGTTCCCACAGAGATCTGTATGGCTCACTACCTCATCTCCTGCAGGTATTTGCTCACATGCCTTCTTTGAGTTCTTCCCTGATCACCCTATTAAAATTGGAGTTCCTGGGGCTAGGTGCAGTGGCTCACTCCTGTAATCCCAGCACTTTGGGAGGCAGAGCTGAGCTGATCATCTGAATTCAGAAGTTTGAGATTAGCCTGGTCAACATGGGGAAACCCCATTTCTACTAAAACAAAACAAAACATAAAAATGAGCTGGGTGTGGTGGCATGTGCTTATAATCTTAGCTACTCAGGAGGCTGAGGCAGGAGAATTGCTTGAATCCGGTAGGCAGGGGTTGCAGTGAGCCGATATCTTGCCACTATACTCCAGCCTGGGTGACAGAGCAAGACTGTGTCTCAAAATAATAATAATAATAATAATAATAATAATAATAATTGCAGTTCTTCTCCAAAAGCATCTCCTAATGCCAGTGCTTTCACTCTTTCCAGAGCTCATGTTACCATCTGACCTACCGTTCATTTTTCTCATTTATCTTTACGTATCTTCTGTTTTCCACACTAGAATATAATCTCTGTGGGAACAGGAATTTTTACTTATGTCCCTGTCACCCAGGTCAGTGCCTGACACATAGTAGGCACTTTGTAAATACTTTTGGAATAAACAAACAGCTACTTTTTAAATCTTCATCCAAGAAATTGTAGCTCTAACTAATGTTTTTCCAGTATTGATTCCAAGCCCTCCTCTGTTTCTTGCCCATCTCTCCTCTCTGGATCTGCTCTGATGTTTGTTGGACTGGTCTCTGGTGTAGTAATGCAGGAAATTCTTAACTCTCTGCTGGCAAATGCTTAGGCATTACACTTTTTGTACTGTATTTTTATCAACAGTAGTTTCATAGCTCTGCCTGTTCCTTTGACAACTAGAAAATCAAAGGAATAAAATCCTCCTCTCATGCTGCGTTAAGTGGCCACCTCAGCTACCAACGATCACAGAAACTCCTGGAATTTTATTTTTGGTTTACCTCCTTCCTGCCTATATGAGGCCCCACAGTGTATATTTACATACTTATTGCATTTATTCTTTTGGAATAACCCATCTTATTTCCTTGAGATCCAGCTAGGGTGGCCAACTTCATTTATTCTTTCAGAATAACACATATTATTTGCTTGAGATTCATCTAGGGTGGTTATTTTTGATACCAGTTGTGTATATGTAAGGTCTTTCCCTAAAGAACTCCAGTTGCTTTGCATGGTTTCAGCAAGCAGGAAATTCTGTACCTGACAGTTCTTGCTGACCCAGCTAGAAGTGGCCGAATGACGCATTTCACTTTCAGGGGCTATTGCTGGGTTTTCATATTCAAACTATAAATGGCACATCAGGGAACACTCAGATACACTGAACATTTTCTTTGCAGTCCAGTTCAGTGTTGCCAGAAAGAAAGTCACATGCTATCTGGTTCTGTGCAAGTCACTTGCCCCTTAGTGGCTCCTAAGTTCTATACAGACCCACCCAGAGTGTTTATTTGCTCATAAACACAGCATTACTCTCAGCAAATACTTCTGTGCCTTTGTTTATGCTGCTTTCTGTGCCTGGAAGAATCCTACACATTTTTAAGTTTTCATCCCAGGTGAGAAAGCTTTCCCTGAGTTGGCTCAGTAGAAATGCCTTCTTCCTCCTTATGGATTGCATCCCCTATATATCTCTTTGGCAGCAACTTCAGCATTATAATAGAGTTTGTTACCTACGTATGTATTTTCACACTCTTATCATCCCTTTGTCTACTCACATACCAAATTGTGAACCCTCAGGCCTGTGACTTGTGTCTGCATGTATCTATCCCCAACAGTTAGCAAACAAAATGTTCAGAAACATTTGTCTAGTGAATGGCTGATTGTATGAATGAATGAAATTGCAATCACATGGGAGAATAGAGCTCATTTGTTTCCAGCTTAATGGTTTTAAAAATAATCCTATATTTAGTTTGTGTTTCTTTTTAATTTTCCTTAGTGAACACCTTCCGCTATGTGCATGGCCAATTGTAGATGAAAAAAAATAAATGTTACATTTAAATACACTTCAGGAACGGTTTTAAAAATTTTTGCTTTTTAAATTTCAAGGCAACAGACTAGTGTGTTCCTTACAAACTTCTTGGCATCTTTCTTTTCACATGCTCTTTTTTTTGCTCGACCCAGTCTTCAGTCAAATTCCTCCAAAGGGTCTGCTGTAAACAATGATTTTGTGAGTGGTTGTGTGTTCTTTGCAGTGAAAACCCGCCTTGTTTTCTGTTGCTAGGCAACCCCATTCCAGCTGCCATTGAAGAAATGCGCGGTGGTGGGAAATGGTGGGATTCTGAAGAAGAGTGGCTGTGGCCGTCAAATAGATGAAGCAAATTTTGTCATGCGGTAAGAGAGAGCACCCACAGCGCGGCCTCTGCCTTCTCTCCTTTTCCCGACCCCTCCCATAAGCCCTGGGGCTTTTCAAAACTAGTCAATTGTGATTAATCAGTTATAGCATGCTCCTTAGCTTTACTTCCAGCTCCTAGACAAGTGAGTTTAGGAAAGGGGTAAGGGGGAACATGCCCCAAGAAAGGACAAAGCCAAGAAGACTCAGTGGAGATACCCACTCTGCTGTGAATAAAGGCAGCAGCGGAAAGTGGAAGATCTCAGCTCTCATTTTGGATGGTAGAGTCAGGTGATTCTGACTTTTTCAATTATTCCTTTCCTTAAGGCCAACTCTCTGTGAATAAATATCCTAATGGATTCATTTTATTTTATTTCCTATTCTTCTTAGTTTTTTTCACCAAAGCATTTGTAAGTAGCAAGTGGGATCTGAAGAGGGATTAAATATTTGAGTGGGTAGGAAAACTGGAACAAAGGAGCAGGGGTAAATTTCAAACAAGGAGGATGCTTGGTAAAGGGACTGAGCAGAGTGGTGATGTGCACATCAGTTCCAAGATAAACAGGAGGCCCCCGTGGGAGCATGAAAAAAGATTGCTGAGACATATTCAGCCAGAGGCAGACTGCCAAACTGTAGTGGCAGCAGCCTGCGCTGCTGGGTGATTCTGCCCAGACCAGGTATAGAAGGTACATGCATACCAGCCAGGTATAGAAGGAACGACAGCAAGTGATTGGATGAGGATAGGTTTGGCATTATCTGGGTGAGAGGGAAGAAGGACACAGAGTGACAACATGGGGGGCTCTGGCTAGAGAGGGTGTAAAGTGACACACCTTGAAATCTGGGATGGGCAAAAAGAAGGCTCTGAGATGAGGTAAGGAGAAAAGAAAGGGGCAGATGATGGGGTCATTCAGAGCAGGGATGAGGTAAGGGTGGCTCCTGGCCATGGATGAAAAAGAAATAGAAGCAGCAGCAGCTAAAGTCAAAGAATGGCTTTCTGGAGGGTAAGATTTCAGGGCTCAGGGTATCTGGCGGATGAGTGGACATGTTGTAGAAAAAGAAAATATTCATTACTGAGCAAATAAGGGAACCTTGAGGATAGACTCTGAAGGGCCTTTCAGGTGGACCCTCAAGCATCACTGAGGTGGGAATGATTATGAACCAAGTGCCAGCAGACTCCGTAGCCAGGAAGGGTGAAGACGGCAGCAACACCAAGGGTAGAAAGCTGAGCGAGATTCTGCATTCCTGTTTATTTTTAAGTATAAGTGAGTAACAGTCTAGGAGTGGAAAAAAGGTAGCCAAGAGAATGCTAAGCCACCTCTGAGCCCTGAGTTAAGTGGGGGCGGGAAGAGTAAAGACTTTAAAAGAGGGTTTTAGGAGAAGCCATGTAGTTGTGGGGGCTAGGTTCACTCTCACAGTTGGTCTCCTTGAAAAACACTTTTTCTCACTTGGTGACGCCTGCAGGAGAGTCTAGATCCTTCTATACTCACCTTTCCTTTGTCCAGGTACCCTCATTTGTATTTTTCCGCTATATTGCAGTTTTTCTTTTCAATATATACAAACAATAGAAAAATGGAAAAAATACAAATGTAGTTCTTTTAGTTCCAGTCAATGCAACACCTGCTCATTGAGCACCCATGACATATGAGCCTTAAGCTGGGTCTGGGAATGGTGCGTTGAACAATTCTGTAATGGATTTGTATCCTAAAGATGTGCTTGCTACCATGGGGGAATTCAGACACATGGGAGCTTCTCAAGAGAAGTGGTGTGTGAGCTGAGTCTTCTGTTCATTTCACCCTAAGCGGAGAAACAACCTGGGTTTTTTCCCAAGGGTCCAAGGTGGGAAAGACAGCGAGTGCTGTTGCAGTGTCATGAACAGTGGAAAGAATGGCTTGAGATGGAGTCAGAGAGGTATTTAAGGCATAGGAGTGGAGAAAATCACCTAGAGAGCATGGATAGGTGAGAAGAGCAGAGCCCTGGTCCACTTTTAGGCACCCTCTCCAGTATTTTGGCATTAGGTGAGGCTGAGAGGCCAGCAAAGAAGACAGTGAGGTAGGAGACAGGCCCTTGCTGTTGTTGACTAGGTCTGTGACCTACAGTGCACTGTTTTACCCTTGCTGGGGCCTAGCTTTCTAGATTGTAGGAGGAAGTGGGTGTAGACAATTCCTCAGGCCCTACCACTGTGGCAACTCTTACTGTATCGAAGACTGTGTGAATACTGTATCATTGTAACACCTTTTATGTAGTTTACTTTAGATTTTCAAATCGTTCCTGAGTATTATTAGTTTATGTGCTCCTTCCAAAAATTATGTAAGGAAGAAGGAATAGATAGTATTCAACTCATAGACTGAAAGAAGTTAAGTGATTTCAGGTGGCCTTGATACATGTAGAAGTATAAATGCACTTCATGCAGTATAATAAATGTTTTCTTGTATTATTCATGAGTGTGTATGTGTGTGTGTCATCCATTTGTGAAGATGGACATTTACCAACGTGTGGAAGACAAGGCTTAAGTACCATAGAGGGTTATCTATTATTTCTTGTGGGCCATATTTATCACAAGCAAAGAAGATTTTTTTAGCCTTATATGCAATCTGGTGTTGACATATTCAGGTTCAGAATTAATGAGCACTTCTGATTAGAGTGCCTAGCACAGTATTAAGTATAATGTTTATAAAATATGTGAAGATGAGGGTTGAAAGAATTCAAACAAGGTAGCACCATAATTAGCACTATGTATGCATATGCCTTTGATTTAATTTCAAAAGTAGTGCTGTTTTCATGACATATTTTAATTTTTAAAAGCGTTATGTATGGTTTAAATTATAGGAGTAATAAATGCTGATAGATTGTTTTAAAATTATTTCACCATTTGTAGATCTATTAATAAATGGTTGCCTAATATGCATTTTGGGACATGCTTAATATATTGAGATAATATTATATATTCTAAATTAAGCAGTTAATGAATAAGCGTAGATTAGAAAGCATATCATATGTCTGGTCCAACACTATAGGGTATGTGATGGACAGATTCAGGAAGAGAGAACATCCAAAAATAGCCCTGTGTGTACACAGTGATATACCAGATTACAATTCAAAATGTCTTCTAGGACTAGGATGTAACAGTTTCATAATTTTCTTTGCTTAAATTCAAACACATGAAAATCAATTTCCCATTTCTCAAAGTAAATATTTGCTCTGTAACCAAAAGCAATACTTTAAAAAATAATATTGTTGAATTCAATTTATTGAGAAGGGCTGTCAGACAAATGTAAAAGGTATTGGATCCTTAAGAGGAATTGGTTGACTCAGGAACATGGATGAGGCAACATAATTTTCCTTTTCAATTATACACAAATGCATACTCACATATGCAAAAAGCATTTAAAATAATTTTATGATTTTTCTACTTAAAGACTTCTTTCTATCAAGCCCATTTCCCACTTACTTCTACATCCCGATTCAAAGAATATTTATTTCTCATTAATTATCTGATCAGGTCTCTTTTAGGATTGTGAGCACAGTTGCTAAGACACTTTAGCCATTATCTGTTAATTGTGCCAACAAGTGATAATGTAAACTTTGAAACTTATTTTACATCACAATTATGCTTTATTAAAACAAATTGACTTTATTAAATGTGCCTTTTGTGTACATCTTTGTAATTAGCAATTTAGGAGTTGAGGAACTGTAGTTATGTGCTTTTCCTAAGAGAAGAGATACAGGAAAGTGTTGCAGATATTTGCACTTAAAGAATAAGTTTACCCAGAAGAACTTACACCAAAATGTATTGTGATTATTTTCTGGAAATGCATCAAAATTTACATAAAATGTTATCTTTATGGTTTTAAGCATTCCTCTCTGTTATAGAAGGTAATAAACACCTGCAAGTTTTTCTTGAGCTGTTACTCTGTGGCAGTAGATATGAACAGACCCAGACACATGAGCCATGGAACACACAGGAAAACAAAATATTTACTCATGAAAACCAGCTTGTTTAACAACAAAACGTGTTGACAGCACTCCCCATCAATACTCAGTTTACAATTGTAGCATAACATAGCTGATTCTCACGTGCTTCCAAGGGCAGTTAAGATCAAAGCTTCTTTAAGAGACAAGTATCCAAATTTTAGTCTGTGTTTTATCCTGGAAGTCATCTTCCTCTGCACAAAGATCAATTAGATCACAAGACCACACAGTCAGTTACCACAGCCTGATGAGCCTGGCTGTTAATGCATGAACTCATTCCCTCATGAGAATCCTCAGGAAACTGCATGGGATGCGGAACACTAGACTGTAGATGCCTCAAGAGTAGGTTCTGTGACTTGAGCTCCACCCCAAAGTCCCCATAATGCCCACTGTGTTTGCTTTCAGTGGGTATTCAGCAAAAGCCACCGACTGGTTAACTGGCCTGTGGGTAGCTGCCAGAAAAACCAGTATCTTATCACCAAAGAGCAGATAAAAGGAAGATTCTAAATCAACTGAGACACGTTTCCACCCAGGATGCCTTGATGTGATAGTCACAGGGTAACTAAGAGAAAAAATCAGAGAACTTGAGCTGGTCAGCTGAGTGGATGCCTGGATACTGGGGGCAATTTGCAGGGAAAATTTAGTAGTTGGGGAACTAGAAGAGACTGCAATATTTGTAAGATATCTTTACCTACAAATAAATGAGGCTTTAGTTTACTGAAGTAAGAAAAAGTTACAGGTGCCCTAATGTGGTAGGAATCAAGTTAGAGATACGGTTGGAGAGAAATGAGGACTCAGCAACAAAAGAAAATATAATGGAAACTACAGGATAATAAATGGATAATAATGGATAATAAATGTATATTTAATTATTTTTGTATGCCATTTCTGATTTGTGACTTTTTGAATATTTATTGAGTGTACACATCAAGGTTAGGGAATTTTTATATTACATACCTTTTTTAGTCCTTACAACAATTCAGTAAAAGAGGAAAAATCATTATCCTTATTTTGTGTAATGGAGAAACTAAAGTCAGGCAAATGAATTAACTTGCCTAATGTTCCACAGGCAGAAAGTCATGGGATTTGAATTTGCAGTGGTCATATTTCCCATTGTAAGCATTCGTAAGACACTGTGGCCAAGGAAAGCAACAGGGGCAGGGTGGTGTTTGTGGGTGGGAGTAGGGTGGCTGTTCCATCACCAGGGAAACATCACCTGTACTCTTTGGCTGAGCTGGGATTGTAGGTCACTGCACTTCTTTGCATGATGAGCCATTATGCCTTCACCGGTAACCCATCTATGCAGTGACCACACACACACAAGTCAGACATACTTTGATTTAAGTGAATAGCACATGGCCCTGAAAGCACTCTTATAATTTAGATTGTGGGAAAATAAAGAAAAACCTCCCAACAATATATTAATTCCTCCTTGTCTTCTGAGGTTTATGTGTGTGCAGAGGTACTGTAGGTCCTCTGTCCTCTAGTGTACCACACTCTGCTGAGCTCTAATTCAGGTATAAGAATGTCTGTCCTACCTTCTCAAAAATATTTTGAATGGGATAAATACCCCCTAGTTACTGTCTCTTTTTTTTTGTAGATCATTTGCCCCTTTGGCTGACATTTCCTTTCTTCCTAAACAGGAATAGTTTTTATGACAGCATTTGGAAGATGTTGATAGTTAATTATTCATCTAATGTCTATTAAAAGGGAGAGGTGTTTTTTAAAAAAAAAGCAGTTACTTGTGAATTGAGTTAGCATTAATAAAGTTCCTATACATATTATTCTAACTGATGATTTAAAGTATGCAAATCATTTCAAAAATGTTCGTTCTTGTTCCTCTAGATGCAATCTCCCTCCTTTATCAAGTGAATACACTAAAGATGTTGGATCCAAAAGTCATTTAGTGACAGCAAATCCCAGCATAATTCGGCAGAGGTAAGAGTTTATGACTTCTGTTTCTGAGGAATGAAGATGAAATCCTCTCAAGTACTTAGCATCTCAAAGGCAGTGAGCATAATTCAGTTTGGGAAATCAAGAGGAAAACCATCTGGAGAGGCAGGAAGGATGAAGAAGGGAATTGTAAATAAAGAAAGCAGGATTATGGGAATCCAAACAGTATTTATGCTTCCTCTAAGATTCTGTTTCTTGCCTTTAGAGATGGTAGAAGTAAATGAGGATCAATTGTTTTGCTTAAAGAACAGCAGAATATTCTGCTTACTCATTACTGCTACTTTTCAGTTTGTTGGCTTCAGTCCCAATTTGTTGATTGGCAACTGTGAACCGAATTAATATCAAGAATAAAAACAAAGCAATGGCCAATCCACTGCGTATGCATGCATTAAAATAGCAATATTGTCAGAATGTACAAGAATGTGTGATTATAGTATACTATATTACATTATATTCAGTCATATTTGGGGGAGTGGATGTAAAATTCTTGTTCTAGTGTCAATTCTGGAAATTTTGAAATTGCTTGGAATCTTTGAGGCTGCTGTGGGAGCTTCGGGAGTGGGGGGGTGGGTCAGTCTGTAGTTGAAGAAGTGCATCATCGAGCTATCAGCTGTTTCACCAAGGACTGTTCATTGCAGAGAATGAGTCCCTCTCCGAGGAAAGAGGAATCAAGCATTGCTTTAGGCCCTCCTGTGTCCCTAGCAAGTAGGAGTGAAATATCCAGATGTTCTGGATCCAGGCCCTTGTCATAATGAACAATATGTATGTTCACTTATTCACAGTGTGGCACTACTTGTTTTTGTTCATAAGAATTCTCACAAAATAGATATCTAGAAATGCAATCAGCTTTTAATTTTGGCAGATACTGTGAAATTACCCTCCCCAAATATACCATTTATCTTCAGAAATGGATAAGACTGCTTGTTACTTATATGGAAAACAATACTATATGTGAAAAAAAAAAGGATACATTATACTTTACTTAATCTGCATTTTTCTGAATATAAAAAGAGTTGAGTGGGTATTGACTATTAGTATTTTTTCTTCTGCCCCTTTGTATTTTTGGCCTACTTTCAACTTGCTTTTAAAAAATATTTTTCTGTAGCTATAGAGGAGCTCTTTATATTATGGATATTAAGTCTTTGTAGCAAATATTTTCTTCTAGCCTGTCACACATATTTTAACTTATATTCTATTGTAATTTAAAATTTTTATGCAATGAGACTTGTTAGTATTTTCCTTTATGGTTTCTTGTATAAAAACAATATTTCTTTGGATGATCTTTCTTACCCTGATGCTCCTCCCTTCCATGAAAAAAAAAATCCTGAAGTTTTCTAATGCATTTATGGTTTATATTTAGAAATTTAATCCATGTAAATGTATTTATTTTTCTTCTTATGAGTAATTTTATTGTTTTTAAACACAAATATATGTCATTATAAGAAATTAAACAGAAAAGTGCTAAGAAGAAATAAGAGAACAGAAGAAAATTTTTTTATTAAAACAATTTATTTTTAAATATCTATAGATTCATAGAAAATTGCAAAAAATGATTTACAAGAAGGTTCTATGTAGTCTTTGCCTAGTTTCCCCCAAAGGTGACATCTGTGGCTATTATTGATTTGGAAATAAAATAACTTTTAAGAAGGAACACATGTTCCTTTGGTGGGGAATGAAATGTTCAATATATTGTATCCAGGAGCAGAAGATTCTGTTTTTTTTTTCTACCTGAATATGTGGAGTTGGTATAAGACTTAAAAAGGAATGTGAAGAAAAAATGTTCAGAGCAAGATTTAGAACAAGATGAGGGAGAGAGGGAGGAAGGAAATGAGGAAGGGAGGGAAAGGGAGAGATTTGTTTTAGGGAAAAAATATAAATACAGAGGAAGGAAGGACAGGGCCAAAAATTAAATTTTGAAGAGGAAAGTAAACTGTTGGTTAAGACTTAAGCTCACTATGAAGAAAACAAGCATGGACAAACAAGAATTATTACCAACATTGGTAAGTATTTAGTTCACATTTATATGTGCCAGGTTCTGTGCTCTTTATTAGGCAGAACCTGGTGCTTAATCCTTAAAACAATCTAACAGTCAGGAACTATTTTAATTTATGCATTTGACAGAAGAAACCTGCGATGTGGTGAACCTAGGGACCTGCTCATACACACAGCCGCTAATAATCGCCTGGGACTTCACCCAGGCCTCTCTTATTCCAAAGCCCATGCTCCCAGCGAGTGACCATCTCTGAGAGAAAAAAACCCCAAACTGCTTTTTCCTCTGTTCTCACACTACAACACAGAAGATGGTGAAAAGAACCATAGGGGGTTAAGGGGGGTGGGGAGGGGCGTCTGGCTCTGTCCAGTGGCCAGCCCCCACCGTGAAGTGGCAAAGGGCCTCAATCAACTCATTAGCATGTAAAAAGATGGCACCGAAGGGTTTCTAAAGATTTTAGGAGATGCATACCAGGAAATGAGATCGAAGCTCTCGAATACGTATTTCACGATATTTCACCATCGCACCCTCTGATTGTTTTATGTAAACCATGAGTTGCACAAGGAGACAATAGAGTTTTCCCAGAATAATCAACATAGAAGACTTCTGGCACCAAATGTGTTTGTGTTTTTCCCCACACACACCCAGCAAGCAATCAGTTCTGCAGCAGACACCAACGGGGAATCTCCAATTCAATTCCAACACTACCTACAGATAGTGTCAGATCCCACAGGTGGAGGGCTTAGTCCCACAAGACCACCCCCCAACCCCCAAACCAGAGTTGGTTCCCCCAACTCTCTTTTTGGGTTTGATTAATTTGCTAGGGCAGCTCACAGAACTCAAGGAAACACTTGCTTACGTTTACTGGTTTATTGTATTACAAGGGATTCAGATGAAGAAATGCAAACGCGCAGGTTGAGGTATGGGGGAAGGGACATGGAGCTTCCAAGCCCTCCCTGGGCACAACACCCTCCAGAAACCTCCACCTTCTTATCTGGAAGTTCTCCAAGCACTGTCCTTTTGAAGTTTTATGGAAGCTTCATTATGCAAGCATGATTGATGAAACCATTAGCCCCTGGTGATCAAGTTAACCTGTAACCCTTTTCTTCTCACCAGAGGTCAGGGAGTGGGGCGGAAACTCCCAAACCTAGAATCCTGCCTTGATTCTTTCCAATGACCAGCCCCTACTCTGAAGCTGCATAGGGTTGCCATCAGTCAACTGATTAACATCCAAAAAGGTATCACTCCGGAGTTCCTAAAGATTTTAGGCGTTATATTCTAGAAAACTAGGTTAAAGATCAAGTAAATATGTCATAATATTACACCATCACACCCACTGATCTTTCTCCATAATCCATGTATTGCACAAGGAGACAGTAGAGTTTTCACAGATTATAAATCATTTTGTAAAAGTGAATGAAAGTTTCTTCACTTTAAAAAATGTATTCAGGCCGGGCGCAGCGGCTCACGCCTGTAATCCCAGCACTTTGGGAGGCCGAGGCGGGTGGATCACGAGGTCAAGAGATCACATGGTCAACATGGTGAAACCCCGTCTCTGCTAAAAATACAAAAAATTAGCTGGGCATGGTGGTGTGTACCTGTAGTCCCAGCTACTCAGGAGGCTGAGGCAGGAGAATTGCCTGAACCCAGGAGGTGGAGGTTGCGGTGAGCCGAGATCACGCCATTGCACTCCAGCGTGGGTAACAAGAGCGAAACTCCATCTCAAAAAAAAAAAAAATATATATATATATATATATATATATATATATATATATATATATATATTCAATGTAACAAGGTTTCTGTTCAGATCGATATGCGCATACCAATTCCATTTTGTGACATAAGAAAAAATTGCATTGACAATAGCATCAAATCATATGATATACTTAATTAAACAAGAAAGCAAGTCCTCTTTGGAAAAAATATGAAATTTTACTGAGAGGCATTTTAGACAACCTGATTATATGTACTGATAATACCATGTGCGTAATTGAAAGACTTGGTATTGTAATGGCACCAGGTCTACCCAAATCTATCTACAGATTCATTGAAATTCCAATAGAAATCCTAATGATGCATGCATGTGTATGTGTGTGTTAAACTTAAAATGGTATACAAAGAGCTGAGAAGAGCAAAGAAGCTCTTGAAGAAAAAACGATTGGCACAGTTGCTTTATAAGATGTTAAGACTTATTATAAAGCTATTATAATTAAGATAATATGGGTCTAGTGCAGGGATAAACCAATTGAGCAGTGAAACAGAATAGGATGCTCCCAAATATTTCCACATAGATATAAAACATTATATATGACAGATGTCATATTTAGGTCAGTGAAAAAAGTATAAATTTCAAAACTTGTTGGGATACTTAGATTACATATGGGGAAAAATTGAATTAAATTAAATTAAACCTCTACCTCATAACTTATACCAAAAATTATTTTCAGGTGGTTAAGACCTAAAAATAAAGCCACTGGGCATGGTGGCTCATGCCTGTAATCTCAGCACTTTGGGAGGCTGAGGCTGGTGGATTGGCTGAGGAGTTGAGACCAACCTGGACAACGTGGCAAAACCCAGTCTCTACCAAAAATTACAAAATGATCTGGGTATGGTGGCACATGGCTGTAGTCTCAGCTACTTGAGGGGCTGAGGCAGGCGAATTGCTCTAGCCCAGGAGGTCAAGACTGTAGTGAGCCATGCTTGTGCCACTACACTGAAGTCTGGGTGGCAGTAAGACCCTGTCTCTAAAATAATGATTATAAAATTAAAAATTAAACCAACTAACAATACGGCTAGGGACACAGACATAGCAAATAAAACTATAAGGAACAATAAGTAGTCACTTCTCAGGGTAGGAAGAGTACTGGGTTCAGGTATGGAATAATGGGACCTCTAGATTGCTGGAAGTGTTCTTTTTCTTGGCCAGGCTGGTATAACATGGATATACACTTCATAATGATTTCTTAGGCTGCACATGTATGTTAGATGCTCT